TTGGGTTTTTTCTGGGTTTGTTTTTCAGGTTTTGCTTTGCTTGTGATCAAATATCAAGTTGGATTGTGGTCTCATTGGAATGGTTCTTTAGAGGAGAGGCTTTTGGAATAGTTAGGGAGTCATTGGATATGAGTTATAACTAGTCGAATTATTTCATATCTAATCATTTAACTCAAAATTCAAAATTCAACTCAAGTCTCATATTTTTATAAATATAATTAAATAATATTAATCAATCATTATCATACCATATCAACTTTAATTCGTTATTTATTCTTTCAGATAATTTAGATATTTATCAACTTTAATTCGTTATTCATTCTCTCAGATAACTTAGGTATTTATGAGTTATGGCTTCCAATAATTTCTCTTCTACTTTTACATCACATCAATTTAATCATTTTATAATTTAAATGTTATTTAATTCTAAATTCAAAATCAATTGAATTCATATTCAATTGTGCCCTTAATCTTTGTACAATTGTAGATTTGGAAAGACATTTTGTATTCTATTTTGCATGTACAAATGTACAATACTATTTGAGAGGAGAAAACGTCAAAGTATGGATCGTAGAGCAAATTCAACCCTTTTCAATTGTTAGATCGGCACACACTGACACGGATGTGTATGTGTGAACCGTAATACCCACATTGAGGTATAAAGTCGTTAAATCGATACATATATATGTATGGATTTGTGGATGCACTTTTGATCCAATGGCTCAAATTTCAGCATACAAATTCCACCTATTTGCCCAATCGAGGTTTGAGCCATAGATCAACACACATATGCATGAGTACTATGTGTGCATTGTAATGCCGACATTGAGATCTGAACCGTTAGATCAACACATGTGTAAAGGTCGAACCTTCCAATAATCCCTCATAAGTCGCTATCAAGATTGTCTTGTAGACGAGTTCGGATAAAAAATTATCTGGGCTATCAAGATTGTCTTGTAGAGATGAGATGAAGACATTGGTTTGTCGTACATGATTGAACACGACAAGATTGTTGGAATATAATGTGTTATCCACTTGTTACCTAAGACTAATTGTAAGACAAATGTTCCATTTACTAAATTGCCCTTCAAACAAAGTTGTTAGAGTATGCTTGGATACAAAATTATCTCAAAAAAATCTAATTATTTTTAACTCAACTACTTTTTTAACTCAACTTTAACCCAACCTCACTATCATCAATATTTTACTATAATTAAATAATATCAACCAATCATTTATACACATCACATCAACCTTAATTCACTATTCACCTACTCACATAATTTAACTAACCATCACTTCAAATCATCTCTCTCATACTTTTATATCAAATCAACTTTAATTATTATATTTTAACTTTTATTTTAATATATCAAATAACAACTAACCATACAACATTTTTCAAAATTAACCAAACCAAACCAAAAACCAAACAAATCCAAAATTTTTTATATCCAAACATCCCTTTTTTTTTTTTTTTCTTTTGATGAGGCATTATCAACTTAACACTAAGGGCGTGATTGTATATGCTTTCAACAGTAAATATCTCATTCAAAACTCAAATTTAATTCAACTTCACTATATCTAATATTATCCACGTAAATTAATAAAATTTCAACCAATCATTATTACACATCACATCAACTTTAATTCACTATTCATCCACTCA